AACCATGCAAATTACTTGGTACCCTTAAGTGTTTACCCCTCAATCGATGTGCCGGTTAACCACACACGCTCCATCGATACTATGATAAACATTAAGTTACCCTTTGCCTACCTTGTTAAATACGAGTTAGTGTGCCGGTTAACCACACACGCTCCACTAACCGACTTAAACAAAGTGCAAAGTGTAATTTCATGGATTAGCACCTTATTCACATTTTCCTAAGTAACTAAGATTGGGTATTATTAAGAGTTTAGTTACTTAGTATTTATCATTAATACTTTTAATGAAGGGAGAATTATAGTCCTGTCAAACCCGTTCGGCTAACGACCCTCCACCAGTCAAGCAAGCGGTGGGTGAGAGTGGACACCCATTAAGTTGCCATTTTATAGGCAACAACCTTATACCCACCTTATAGACCGGCTTCGTGAATGAGGCGTACTAGCGGTAAGACTGACTTTACTCTTATACATATATATATATATATATATATATATATATATATATATATATATATATATATATATATATATATATATATTAACTTATAATATTATAAAGTATAAGGGTTGAATTTTAACTTTTAAAATTCTAAGGGCTAACTTGGAATTAAAGTATTCATAAGAGAAAACTTTACAAATTCCAAAACTTGAGGGCAAGTTTTGAAACTATTCAAAACTAATTAATTCCATAACTTATGTGTTTAAAGTAGTTTTAATCCAAAAACTCTTCAAGTTCCATAACTTGAGGACAAGTTATGGAAGACTTTAAACTAATAAAAGAATTAACTTTTCTTTATTTTATAACTTATGGAATTAATTAAGGTTACACTTTTTTTTATTTAATGAAGAGACTCTTGGTCCTCCATAACTTGAGGACAAATTATGGAGTCATAACTCCAATTAATTAGAACTAGACTCTTCATTTTGTAACCTTTGCCAACTTTTATGAGTTTTATGAAACTTAAATGTGACTTTTCATATAACTTGAGGACAAGTTACAAAAACACATTTTAGAATCAACTCTTAGATTAATTTGGATTGAAAACAACTATTTCACTCGACTTTTCTATTAATCTAAGCAACTCATAAGAACAAGATAATTCAAATCAAACTTTTTCATGTAATTAGTCTAACCTTTAAACTAATACAAAACATGAATCTATTGACAATTATCTTTGAAATTGGATTAGCATGAACATTACCACATCAAAAACAAGTTTATAAGTTCAAAAACCTCTTAGGGTAATGTTCCTAGTCCAATTCCAGCCAAAAATGTCGAATTTATGCTGTCTGGGGGTCCAACTCGTCTAGTGCACTAACCAACTCGGCGAGTTGGATGCTTTTTACCTTGGACTCGTCGAGTCCCTTCATGGACTCGGCGAGTCTGCTGGGCAGACAGCATCAAAACTCTATTTTTCAGCTCCATTTGCAAGTATAACAAGAAAACAAGCCTAGGCTCTGATACCACTGTTGGGTTTTGAGCATTCTAACACTCCTAAGTGTACATGCAACCCTAAATACCTTGGATCTATGTTTTCTCTAATTATACATGCAAATATGAACATCCAAGGTATTATCTTAATCTAGCATACAAAACTATCAATATAACAAGATAGAATACATACCTCTTTGATGTAGAATGTCTTCATCAAGCTTGAGTGTCTAATGCCCCAAGTGTGACACCTCAAATGGTTCACACAACACCAAATACACTTGGAATAACTTGAGAGAATTCTACACTACATGAAAATCAGCTAGCCCTCTCTAGAATAATACTAGTGCCGATTTTGTCAAGAATAATATCTTTATATAGTGTTACAATTAGGGCAAACCCTAATTGTCATGACTTTCCATTTCCTTGGATCCATGGGTTCAAATACACCATGGAGCATCATATGGGTTTTGGCCCAACTAGATAATCCATGGAGCATTAGCCCACTATACAAGTATAGATGATTTACACAATCAACCCATATATTTAATTAGTCTTCTTTTGATCACTTAATTAATCCTAGATTAATTCTTGATCAATACTAATTAAATAATCTCATTATTCTTATTATTAATATACTAGAACTTATAATATATTAATAACCATAAGTGTCTTATTTCTCTCATTATAGTCTATCCAAGTGCATGATGCCATGCAACCCAAATGGACCATGCCGGGTCGGGTGAAGTCTTACCAATTATAGTTATGGACTTAGACATTAATCCAACAATGTTGAGGGATGATATCAGATGGTTTATGAGCTTTTCGGGGTGCAAGACCATAAATGTCATGTTTACGAGAGCCTGGGAACGGGATATTGAGTTGGAGCTTCGGAAGAAGCGCAAGCCGGAGCAGGTACACACAGCAGTGAGCCAGGCTAAAAGACCCAAGACTTGTGATTCACACACTAGAGGTCGACATGGCCGGAACCGTTACGGCAAGTGCGGCAAGCCACATAGTAGGGCATGTAGAGAGACAAGGTTGGGTTGTTTCAGATTTTGTATAACATATTCCAAAACGATGGTGTTTTTACGCCAAAGAAAATTGAGTCAAAGGCATATACACATGCTTCTATCTTCCATTCCCAACAGATGGTGGTACACAAAATAATAAATAAATAAATAAAATGAGTAAATTGCATGAATGGTCCCTATTGTTTGGGGTAATTTGCGTGTTTGGTCCCTAACTTATTTTTTTAACTCGGAAAACCTTATTGTTTGTTTTTATTGCATGTTTGGTCCTTGTTTTACCTAAAAATACTATTTTGCCCTTGATTTTTTAATTTATTTAAATAAACACACCTCCAACCCCACCCACACCTCACTTTATCCTACCTAAAAAGACTAATTTAATTTATTTTAAATAAGGGCATAATTGTCCTTTTAGGTAAGTCAGGTACTGAGTGCAAAACAAAAACAAACAATATGGACCTTCCGAGTTAAAAAATAAGTTAGGGACCAAACCCGCAAATTACCCCAAACCATAGTGACCGTTCGTGTATTTACTCAATAAAAGGCAAATCAAACCGGGAGATTGACCAAGCTAAGGCTTTTTCTCACAAAACCCAAATCGCCAAAAACATAGAGTAAGATTCTATTTGTATATGCTGGAATGGGAAAACGGAGGGGGGAGGGGAATCAATTTCTAACCGAAATGAAGGCGTCGGATGTTCTCCAATCGAAGATGGAAGCTTCAATCCATGTACAAAAAGGAGAAGGTTTGTCGGCGATGTCACCAACTCCCCTCAACGTGTTTGTCCAGCTATCAACTACGAATCGAATTCGGGAAAAATTGTGAATGTGAAGGGTCTTCTTGAAAGAGATCCATAGACGGTCATAGTGATGAAGGCGACGACAAGTAGGAGGTTTTTAGAAGGAGAGATAAATTGCATGAATAAGAGGGTGTTTGGATAAATTAGCTTATAGCTTATAGCACTGTGAGAAAGCATCTTTTGCAAAAGTGTTTAGATTAGCTTATAGCGGTGGGAATAAGCAATAAGTTAATAAGCATTTAAGTGTTTGGCAAACCAAATAGCTTATATTAGTAAAATGACTAGAAATAAGCTATAAGCTATAAGCAATAAGCTTTAAGCAATGGGGAAGCTTTTCAAAATTAGCTTATTTAGGTTCTCCACACCACAATAAGCTGATTTTTAATGTTTCCTATTCAAACACTTAAACTTAGCTTATAGCGGTGAGGATAAGCCCTAAGCTATAAGCTCTCTCTTTTTCCATATCCAAACACCCTCTAAGAGGAGGAAACATCGAATCTGAGGCGGTGGAAGATGGATAGGTTTGAGAGATGAAATTGAAAGCAATAGTATATAGATAAGGTGGTGAAGAAAGGTTGAAGTTGAAGGAATGAGTGGTGGGAAAACAGACCAAAAGAGGCCAGATTATTAAAAAAAAAATGGTCCAATAGGAACAATCTACTCTTCCTAAGGAACACAAAATTAATATATATAAAGAATTACTAGTTTTTTAATATGTTCATTCATAAAAAGACCTTGCATTTTTTTCATTTTTCTAAAAAACCCTCAACTTTTTTTCGGAAAAAACACTCATCTCTTTAATTGTTTCGGGGAAAAGCCCTCATTTGTTTTTAGTATTTTCTGGTAAAAAAAAACCCTCATATTTTACAAGTTTTTTCGGGAAAAAAAAAAACTGTTAAAAGAGTAAGATTGAAAAAAAAAAATAATGGGTTTTTTTAAGAAAAAATGAAGTACAATTTTTATAGTTCAAAAATAAAATTGCAAGACATAAAACCTTCACACACACTGGTCTTTCAAATTCGTGCAAATATGTTGAGTAACAAATCATAAATAGAATATGTAGGCTGGCTATAATTTACAAATTTATTATAACTTTTATTAGAGTAGGAAAAAATATTTTGAAATGCGTTGCTTTCATGAGGCTAGGCAAGGAAACAACAATATTTAATTTATGATTTTTCTTTTATGTTACAAATTATAATCATATTTATAACCTAAATATATAAGAGTTGCGCCCATACATATTACTTAATACGTTACGTTTCTCTTGTTAACATGTTAAATTTGCTAAAACAGTTGTTGCAACACTACACGAAACAAATTGGTCACATACTTTCCCGATAAATTATTTTTCATATTTACAATTGTTTGCTAATTCAATTGCACTACACTTGGATGGATAATATCAAACTGAAACAAAAAATTAATATATGGTTAAAAGATCAATCGGATTGGTTTGTCGGAGAACATTTTATTTATTTATTTTCCTGAATTTTATACTTATAAAATCAATATCATTACAGTAATAATTTAATTCGGTGTATCCGTTTAGCAAGTATTAATTAGATACAATGTTTAATAATCTACGGTGTAAGTTTGTAACCAAAGAAGAGACTCGCTAACCAAAAGTCACTTTCTATTTAGATAACTAGATATCCTATCTTATATAAATTGATAACATCGACCTTAAAACATTTATGTATAATTACACTTAACGTATATTCCATCTAACTTGAAACATGTTTCGACTTTACGTGCTACAATTCACATTCTCACATATGAACAAAGTTGTCTACCACACAACACATGTGTGATTCATTCCCAAAAAAATCATCTTTATATTCCACATATCTTTCTTTCCTTTTATTCCCTCTTTTAAATCCATTTCAAAAACCTAATCAAGTACAACAACATGGGTGAAGGCGGTTTCGCACGGAAATGGAGAAAACTTAGCGGAGAAGACAACTGGAATTCACTCTTGGAACCTCTCGACATCGACCTTAGACGTTACCTCATTTTTTATGGTGAAAGGGTTCAAGCCAACTATGACACTTTCATTCTTGATCGTAGGTCAAGATATACGGGTGCAAGTAAATTCACGAAAAAACAGTTCTTTTCACGCCTTGGTCTTGATAAGGGTAACCCTATAAAGTACAATGTTGTTAAGTATATCTATGCTACGTCCACATCACCCACTGCCCCTCAATCGTTTCTTTTGAAGTCTCTTGTGAAGGACCCGTATTTAGGGCAATCAAATTGGATGGGGTACATTGCAGTGTCTTCAGAGAAATCGAAACCTTTGTTGGGAAGGAGAGATATTGTGATTTCATGGAGAGGGACGATACAAATATCAGAATGGATCGAGAATTTTGATTTCCCGTTGAAGCCGACGACTAAGGTGTTTCCGACGTCGACATGTGCACTAGCGCATTCGGGATTTCTTTCAATATATACGTCTAGTCATCCGAATTCTCGCTTTAATAAAACTAGTGCGAGAGATCAGGTATGTTAATCGTTACAATGATTGAACTTGTAGGTTGGGTTTGCTACATAGGACTAGGTTGGACTAACATGGCTCAATAAGCTTCATAGGTCTAATTTCGACGATTAGAATGAGAAGAGCATCATACTTCATTCTTTATTTTTACTTTTTACACAAAAGAGCGATTGAGAGCAAGTTTTTTCTCCACAATTTTTAGTGGGAACAAAAAGATACAATCTTTGTGCCTATAACGACAATTAATTTCAGTCTCAATCTAATTCGCATCAAACAAAGCACAACTTGTTTTCATATTATGCTCTAGGGTGGTAAGGCCTCCTTTGTTGTGTGGCACGGATAGTATAAACCAAACTATACTTTGTTTCGTGTCATTGGACTACGACCGAGTTCAATGCAATGGGATAAAAATTGTAATTTTTGTCTCACCTAAAAACTTGAAACAAGGTAGTACATGGACTTGCTTTCGATCTCTCGTTTATGCAAGAGACATAAAATTCCACCTCATCCTTATAGTTAAAACATCTCTAGCAACTTTCTCCTATATCATACAATCCGATCTTACGTGGTCCTATCACATGTAATAAATGCAATCTAAAGAAACAAACAGGGTACATGCACGTGTCTTCTCCAAAATCACACATTCGTAGATGTTTATATTACCGTTAAACCCCAATTAGATAAAAATAGCATTCGAAAAGTGAATCTTCTATATAACAAATCCACAAAAAAACTTTCAGGTTGTATCTACGATAAAGAGGCTAGTTGAAAAATACAAGGATGAAGACGTGAGTATAACCGTAATCGGCCATAGTCTAGGTGGGGCACTAGCAACCCTAGCCGGAGGCGACATAGCAGTTAACGGCTACAACAAACCTACATCCCGACCTAATAAGTCATTTCCCGTAACAGTATTTGCATACGGGAACCCTATTCTCGGAAACATATGTCTTCGCGAGCTTCTCCACAAGCAAGAAAATCTTCACATCTTACGAACCGTAAACATGATAGATTTTATACAATTTTTACCACCATTGATTGGGTACGAACATATTGGTCATAAATTAGTGATCGATACTCGAAAGTCTCCGTACTTGAAAGCTATCGAAAGCTATGCAAAAAGGCATAATATGGAGGCTTCTTATTTGCATGGGCTTGCAGGCTCACAAGGTGTTGATAAAGAGTTCAAGTTGGTAATTACTCGGGATCTCGCGCTTGTCAATAAGCGAACAAATTTGTTGAAAGATGAGTATTTGATACCGAATCATTGGTGGACTCAACAAAACAAAGGGATGGTTCAACTATCAAATGGATCTTGGAAGTTGCATGAGCTTAAGGGTTACCCACAACAAAATGACGAGATCGAGTATGATGATGATGATGATGATGATGATGATGATGGTGATGACAAGGATGATGATGAGGAGGACGAAATCAAGCATAATGACAAGGATGATGATGATGAGGACAAGATCGAGCATCATGACAAGGATGATGATGATGAGGATGAGATCGAGCATTATGACAAGGATGATGACGAGGACGAGGACGAGGGTGAGGACAGTGACAAGGATGACAAGGACAGGGATGGATTTGGGGTCCAAATCTCCCTATAGCATGTATGAATGTATTCATATTTGTATTTGAAATTGATATCTAACCTTTTTTATATGTACATAATTACCAATATATGTTATTGACCACATGCAATAAACATCTATCGACTTACATTTGTTACACAAGACATGACTAAACAAGTTTTGCAGGGTTATTTTCAAAGATAGACATGAGGAGGGCATCCACGTCTTTTCCTTTCACTTCCCAAGTTTTCCGTGATTTCTGAAATATTTCTTGAACATCGTTTATCCACAAAACACATGATACGAAGAAAAAAAAAACGAACAAAAAAACAGCGTCACACATTGACATAAATTAGTTTCTCTTGTTCAAATTCGAGTTCTCTTTCTCCATGGATATTATATGAGCAAGCCTATCATGAACCTGTCATTTTCACCAATCATACAAAACAATAGTCTCATTAAAATTACCTATTTGCCCCCATAAGTTGTAAATTTCATTCGGTCCTACATTAGTTTTTAACAAGCTACATACCTTAGAGAGCCGCTCCTTATCTTCTTCCGTCTCAACTAACGGATCATACCTAGAAAACATTCTTTTTACTAAAGAGTATTTAAATAAGGGGTTAATGCAAGGAATATCAATGTACTTCCATTTTGTCCTACTTTAGATTTTTCAGAGTATAATATCCAAATAAAAAAGATTTAAAGTACAATTCTTTAATTATATAGATTTTTCATAGTACAATGTTGTAGTAGAAAGAAAGAAAGAAAAGTAGGATGCTATAACACATAAATAAATAAATAAAAGTATGTTGATATTTTTTGCATTTATCCTTTAGATAACTTGACAAGTAGTCTTAAATTTTTACTCAAATATGCTTGAGGCAAAGGGCAAGGATGACTTTTGACATAATTTACATTTTACACCCTTACCAGTCCCGTGGAAGTCCAGCCTCCTCCCGTGCAGTGTAATTGAAGGGCCCTTTCACCTCCACATTGTACTCTTTTAGTAAGTCTTTTGAACAAGATAATTGAATAAAAACACAAGATTAGTAACTTTAATTATAAGTTTTCTTTATTTTGAACCATGTAAAGGGTCATTTTAGACATTTGATTATTAAAACATTATTTTATTTTTTTTGTGATGGAGAGAGGAAGCACAAGAAAAGAAGCAAAGGCCACCTCTAAATGTTGGACATGGGGCCCGGCCCATTTGTTGGCAAACTGCAACAAACCAATACACACCAACTGCCACGTGTGCAACCTCTTCTTCAGCAATTTTGGCCACAACTTTTGATGTTTTAACATCTCCAAATCCAATTAGCTTTTGCACAAGTCGAGGCCCTGCATCAAGTCCTCTAGCCTCCTATCACAAAGCCAGTCTACATGGCATGAGGACTTTTTGTGAAACTTAAAAAGACATAAATGCCCTCCCCTCATCCTTATCATTAAAAATAGCTCCACAAAATTTGTCTATTGATATTAGTATTACACCTTTTCGTGGGACAATGATAAGCTTTTTAGGGCTATTTTCAATGAGGATGAGGAGGAGGGTATTTATGTCTTTTTGCACAAAAGACGGAAATGCCCTCTCTTCATCCTCATCACTAAAGATAGCTCTACAAATGCTTCTCCATGGATATTACACCTTTTCATGGGACAAGGACAAGCTTTCTAGGGCTATTTTCGATGAGGATGATGAGGAGGGTATTTACATCTTTTTTGCAAAAAAGACATAAATGCCCTCCCCTCATCCTTGTCATTAAAGATAGCTCTACAAAGCTTCTCCATGGATATTACACATTTTCATGGGACAAGCTTTCAAAGGCTATTTTCGATGATGAGGAGGAGGAGGAGGGTATTTACGTCTTTTTGCACAAAAGACGTAAATGCCCTCCCCTCAACCTCGTCATTAAAAATAGCTCTACAGAGCTTGTCCATGGATATTAGTATTACACCTTTTCGTGGGACAAGCATTCTAGGGCTATTTTAAATGAGGATGATGAGAAGGGTATTTACGTCTTTTGCATGAATGAGAGTGATTTAGAAAACCACCTGGACTAGTGGGATGACAGCCAAACGAGCAACAACATCATCTGAAGATTTCTCAGACTCACGCCATAGTAGATTATGGGCAGGCATGTCTCCATAACTAAAATGACCAAAAAGGGTAGTTTGCATTTGCATGATAAAAATGCTTGAAATCAGATTATCAAAAAAGATAAAGATTTATATTAAGATAGTTCACCTGAATCCAAGCTCAGCCAGTCTCTGAGTACACCAAGCAAAATGGCGACTCTCATCATCGGCCACATGGGCAAAATCGGAAAAAAACTTATCTCCAAGAAGATCACTATATGGTGAAAATCTAACAACAGTATCCCATGCCAAATCAATTGCATTAAGCTCAACATGAGCAAGGTTGTGTAGCATATAGGCGTTGAGAGGCAATCCTGAGTTCTTTGGAGCTGGGATTTCCTTTGGAGACACCTGAATTAAAAAGAAAATAAAATCATTTTACCAAACACTCAAAATGGATTATCATGCCCTTGAAATCACAATTATCGATTCATCAGGTACTCAATTACCAAACAATTCATTCATTTTTACCTTTAACTATAAACAAGAAGACGAAACATATTGGAGTTACATCAATGATCAAAGAAAATCCCCCAAACCATGTATCGGTTCATCCATACGATAAGGAATTGGGGGTGAATACTCTAAACTAGAAAGCTAACAAGTGAAAAAGTTATCAAATATGCTAACTTTAACTTCAAATTTTAATTTCGAACTGTAACGGTGAAAACGTCGAGTTTTATAAACAAACGCTACAAAATAAAACGAACAACGAACCAATTGGGGTTTTGAAGGACGAGCAGGTCTATGAGGTGGTTGAGAAGCCCCAATAGGGAGCTTATCTCTGCGCCACTTAGAGTAAGCAAGATGAGAAAGCCTCGATTTCGTTATGGGGTCACTGGTGGATAAAATCATGGCGCCCATTTCAGCTAAAGAAGTGGCGGAATCCAACTGTGAGTTCTGGTGATTGGGTCCAATTTGGGTTTCCGGTTCGGGACCAGAAGGTCCCCAGAAGCGATTGTGGTTGAGCGAACTGTCTCTCCAGCTCTGAAGGCCGGGCCATAGTGGGTGTTGGTGTTGTTGAGGAGATTGGAGAGAAGAGAAAGAGGCGAATGAAGGGAGTTTGGGTTTGAAAGAGTGAATTGGGAGGGATGATAAAGAAGCGGAACGCAGCGCTGTTGAGAGCATTGTTACGGGTTGCAGTGACTACATGGCTTCTAATGGGAAGATTTGTGCGGATCGCCCCATTGATAATTTTGTTAAAAGTTCGTCATTTACTTAATTACTTTTGTATAATCTAGGTGTTTCAATTGTTTAAAAAAAAATTAAATTAAATATCCTTCACCATTTTCTTCGTACTCATGCTTTTATCCATACTAAATAGTTGACAAATGGATTTAAATATTATTAATTAATATCCTACTCATATTACTAATGTGGGATTAGATCACTTAGTAGAGGCTTTGTCTCTTAAATTGAAATTCTAATCCTGACGTAACACTAACGTGAACAATTTTGTGATACTAACTGCTAATCACTAACCATGTCGTTCAAAAAAAATGTTCTACCTATATTAAATGGTGACAAGTAGATTAAAATTATATTAATTTTATTAAATGTAACACATGTTTAAACATTAAAAATACATATAAATACAAATTATAGATCAATCAAAATGCATTAAAAACACATAATCATAAGTTTTATATCAACTCATGTACATCAAAAAGAAAATTAAATATAATACGGAAACAAAATATAGTTTTAGATAAATACAAATATATTAAAAAAAAAATCTAACATTTACCATGTGTTTTGATTCAAAGAAATTTAAATAGGTGTGAAAAAAAAAAAAAAAAAAAAAAAAAAAAAAAAAAAAAACAAAGTTTGTTATGTAAAATGATCAATCATGTGTTTTTATTTAATTTAACTGGTTCAACCAGGTTTTTATAAATACCGGTCGGTTCATTTCGGTACAAAAATAGATATAAAATTGATGCTAGTTGATCTGCTCCCTTCTATGGTTCCCGATCCACCTGGTTCAAGTGGTTTTTAAAACACACACACACACATAGAGAGAGAGAGAGAGAGAGAAATGGACAATGCATCCCTGTCACACTCGGGGGAGGTGTGCCCGAGTACCCCTAAGCATCGAGGTGGCTACACCACTCCTTCGAGTATGTTTAGTATGTTTAGTCCTTGTATGCCCTACACTATTATTTAGAGGTGGTAATTATCGACACGACACAATTCACAACAGACCCAATACGAAAATAAGCGGGTTTGTGTCAAAGATTTCAAACCGTTTTATTAAACAGGTTAACACAACACGACACGAAAAATAAATGGATGAGGTTAGGGTTCAAACTTTCAATAGACAAATGACCTTTTTATTTATATGCAACTTCTTTTAAACTTTTGGGTAAGTTGACCATGCCTAGAACTAAAACCAAATATAATAGAAAACTATGAGTTGTGTCGTTTTTTTTAATGTGGTAGTCACTAAATAGTTGCACAATCAATACTTATTTTTTTTCACTTTTTCATTAATATCTCATATTCCAAAATCTCACTCGCCCACTCAACTTCACTTCCCTTTTATGAACTTATTGTGAATTTTGCATGTATGTGCTCTTAAACTACTACTCCTTGATTTTCACTTTTTATTTTTTAGTCTCTCCAACTTTTAGTCTTTCAAACGATCTAATGTTTCAATCTAACATAATACGACATATTTATAAGATTTAAACCATAAACCTACCAACCCGACACAAACTTGACACGAAAATAAATGGGTTGACATGACACACACAATGATTAAACATGTTAGGTTATGGTCAAGATGTCTCATACGTTTAAGTTTCAATCGGACACGAACATGACCCCACGTAATATTTTTGCCACCCCTAACTATTTCCATACACAAAAGCCCTTAATCGTTCACTGTGAAGAGAAATATCAATCACAAAAAAGAAGTATCCAAGCTTTTCTTAGTGTTTGGTCCTTGTAAGTTTTTCAAATCATATTTCGATGTTATCATTTTTCATGGTTCTTACTTGAAAATGATTCGTTGATTTTCTTTCTTCTAATCGTTCTTTGTAGAATTTTGAATCATGTAAGGATCAAAGTTGATCTTAATTTTGAAGAAGATTTTTTTCACTACTCTTTCGAATATTTTTGGCATCCACATGGTGTTGACTAATGTAGAGTTGTAAACTTTGTTGGTATAAATTTAAATGAATGCATAACTTTTCTTGAATGTTTACACATAAAATGTAGTACTATATGCCTAACAAAAATTTAAAAGGTGATATCCATTATAAAAAAAAGTTGGTTGTTTAATACTTTTGGAAACTGGTTATAGTTATAGGGAGTGAGGACTGACTGTATCAGTATGCTAGTGTGTATTGTTAGGGTTGTTGTGATGATCCTCTAAGACAAATACGGGTAGGTGTAGAAGGTAGTATGGGCCCGTACTACTGAAAGCACAGGACCCGTACGCGTAGCAAGGAAGTCACAACCCCTAAGGCTTTGTTGGCAGTTGGTTCCCCCTGTTATGTGATAGTTTCATTTTCTTAACTTCTTTTTATATTTTATTTTAGCACATTTCATTCGCATTTTAGTTAATTTTCATGCATATTTTCCTTTTTATTATTTTATGATCATTTCGGGTACTTTCTAGTTTCCTGAGCATAATTGTAGATTTTTTGGAGACTAGCGGAATGGAATCAACGGGAGGCGATTGGACTTGGAGGACAATGAGGATTTTAGGCTTGATGGCTATGGAGGTGATTCATGGATAAGTCGTTTGTGGAAGCTATGAGTGATTTGGAGAAGGCAAATTGGGCTCAAATTGAAGAAATCTTGAAGAAAAATAGGCTTGGAACTAATCGGGCTCAAGCTGGGCAAATGGGCTAAGCTGTGAAGGTCCAAGACTTGAAGAATGACAAAACCCCGTCACCCTCACGCGGCCTGCGTAAGGTTTCCATGCGGTCCACGTAGATTCCTGCAGGGGCATTTTCGGGATTTTGTTTGGGGTTTTATATTGGGAAGTTTGGTGTGCCTCTTTAGCCTTATCTGGGACATCCTATTTTGACACATTCTCTCTGGAGTTTTGGAGCACTTTGAAGGCCAAAAACACCTCAAGAATATCATCTTTTCATCTCTTGATTCTTTTTAAATGTTGGGTACAATTTTTAGTAACTTTGTTTTCTTTAGTTTAGCAATGCTTTACTAGACAAATTGTGGTTGACTTTGGTGAAATCCCTTGACTGATTATTGAATGTTGAAGACTCCATGAACTTGTGTTTGAATCTTTATGAAAAGTTTTTGTGTTTTAACATCTTATAATCACTTGTATGTTTTTATTCATCAGTTTAAATGTGTTTGTGGTGATTAGTTGACTAATTTCTTGATTAAGTAAAGGATCTTCAAATTAGCAAGCAACAAGTGATTTTTGTGTTAGTTTTACTTCACATAATCATAAAAACATTTTCTCCAATATGGTAGTGGAAGCTTTTGACTCATCTTGGATTTGGTGACTTTTTGATTCTTAATGCTAGTTGACTTTCACTAATTACATGCTTAAAGGAATTTGTGACTTCGACTAAGGAAATTGTTATGAGCTCCTCTAACCATTTCAACAACTAAGAAAAGTCCAGGTAATCTCAAGCTTCTTGGATTACTATAGCCAAATTAAGGATTTAAAACAAATATTGCACCGTTGGGTTCTAATGATATGTTCATCAAAAAGTCAAAGTGAGGAAACCTCAAGTCAACCATCTTTCTCTTATTGATTTTACATCAAACTCTTATTTTTGTTGAAATTGTGTATTTAAATCTTAGTTTAATTCTAGTCTATTTCAAGTATTTCAAAACACCAAACCCTCCATTTTTAATTCATTGTCATTTTACAAGTATTTTTACAAAGAGATTTTTCATAGAGTTATAAATGGGACCAATCTCCGTGGATTCGATCCGTTTACTACTATACACTATTTTAGTGTGTAATATTTAGGGTTATTAATTTTGTTGGCCTCGACAACCACCAAAATTTGGCGCTGCTATCGGGGATTGGTTTATTTTTAATCAATTTGTTTATCTATGCCCAGATCTCAACGTACAAGTGCTTTGATTTATGTGACAATAGTCAATTTCGGGTCAAGTCAAGTCGAACAAAGTCATCGAGTCAAATCGGTCAACTCAATGAAACCTTGTATATTAGGGTTTGCGTTATGTAATTACTGTATAACTCATTATTATAATGAGAAAATATCACTTGGAAAATTCGTGTGTTTAATTTTCCTTAGCCTTAGTGCTAAACAATGAACAAAAACGATAAAACAATGTTGCATACTCATCAGGAGTGTGTAAGATCCTAAAACCTGGCTTAATGGGGTTTACGGACCTTGCGTTGCAGAGCCAAACACTCACAAATGTCACACACGAAACCTCTCTCAATCGTTTTCACTCTATCTCTCTTTATCGAAAATCTCTCCCAAATCTCTCCAAGTATGTCAAATCTCTCCTAAATCTCTCTTTGTATGAGAAATATCTCCAAGTATGTCAAATCCCTCCCAAATCTCTCCAAGTATGTCAAATCTCTCCCAAATCTCTCTTTGTATGAAAAATCTCTCCAAGTATGTCAAATCTCTCTTTGTATGAGAAATCTCTCCAAGTATGTCAAATCTCTCCCAAATCTCTCTCAAAAAGTTCCTTAAACTTTTTGTAGTCTTTCGGGCCATCCCGACCCTTAATCGGGTCAAAAACCGCTTAAAACGGGGGTAAAAACGGATAAAAAGGACTTAAGGACCCGAAACCCCTCTTAAGGAGCCGAACCCTCTTTGGGACCCGAAACCCCTCTTAGGAACCGAACTTGTCAGAAGCGAAGGCATCAGAAGCGAACCCTCCCTTTCAGACCGAACCTCGCATAAGGGACCGAACCCTCCCCTTCAGGCCGAAGCCACCTTCGCTCCATTTCGCGTTCGGGCCTAGCATCAGGAGGACCGAACCTCGGCCAGGACCGAGAGGCCTCGTAGAAAAACCAAGTTTTTCCCGGTTTTCGACTACAACTTCATTTTAGCTTCATTTATCATCGTTTTAACATGGGATTTTCACCCAAAACTTTATTTTAACATATAAGGCCCCCTAAATATTGATTAATCACATTTTTAATATAAATATTTTCCAAGAAATGAGTGAGAGAGGTGCAAAGGTTAAGTGTTGACTTTGCTTTACCTTATAACA